TAAAATCCTATGTAAGATGCTTGCGTATTTATAATTACTGTATCACAGCAGCTGAATTCTTTAGACATAGTGAAACGTGTTATTGGACGATTTGAACTCTTTGTGTGAGCAGATGATGCTCTTGCTGTGGTTCATTGTAAACTGCTCGGAATGTTCCGAGGGTTTAGCTATTTAGGTAACAGCTGAGCTGATAATATTATTTCTTTAATATTTAGTAAATATGCCTTATGACCTGTTGTATCGCCTCCTCATTATGATTAAATAAATAAAATATTACATAGTATGTGCAGAACATGATGTGTTACTTTTGCTATCCATTAGTCAAAGGATTAAAAACTTTTTTTTTTTGAAAAATAAATAAATAATCAGATTGCACCTGCTGTGTGTATTTTAGGTTTGTTATTTGATCTTCAAATAGCTTTTCTGATCACTAACGCAAAATTGGATACATGCTGTGTCATATTTAATTAATACAAACCTGAAAACTGTACAGATATAATCTTTGATGTGCAATAAACTATATACCGCCCGAAACTGCAGGGCAGATAGTGTATTCCAGTGTGTAACTTTGTCAAGGCTTGGGCATGGAGATGTGGGAAGTTGTAGGGAGAGGAACCTTAAAGGAACACTATAGTGTCAGGAATGCAAACAATACAAACACGTATTCCTAACATTATAGAGTTAAACTGTTTAACTCCCCACCCTCCCTCAGAATGCTCTGAAAAGGTATTAAACTTACCTTTTCTCCAACGTCTCCAACTGACCCCACCTGTCTCCGCCTCCATGGCTGAGATCAATCTTGATGATCTCAGCCAATCCAAGGCTTTCCCATAGGAAAGCATTGAAAGGCTATTGCACATGCGCGGTAAAACGCTGCGCTGTGCGAATCAACATCTTCTCTTAGAGATGCATTAAATCATTGCACCTATATGTGGAACTTTGGGATCCTGTGCAGCACTGGGCTAGAAAGTACCTCTAGTGGCCATCTGAGTGACTACAACTAGAGGTGTTACTAGGCAGCAATGTAAACACTGCCTACTACACTAAGCTGTAGTGTTTCTGGTGACTATAGTTTAAGCAGATTCATCAATGCATTAACTCAGACATGTGATAGGCTAGCAATGTAAAATTCATATTGAATGATGTTTCGGGTTAACATAGCAAAAAATACAGTGTCAGGAATTTCTACCTGAAGAAATGGTGATATCTACACTGTGTCACTGAATATTAGTCAATGCATATCAAGCAGTGATGAGAGAGAGATATGGTGCAAAGACTAGCACTCCAGACATTGAGCTCCGGAACAGGACAAAATCCTTAGGACCTTAAGTCTATACAATAACATTGACGCCTTAGGTGTCACGTATTAATCCACACATAAAAATGTGATTAATGGCATTTACTGTCCTGACAGGAAAAGTTGAGCCGAGCAGCAATCATGCACATGGAAACCTGGTAATTGCTTTTGGGGTCAAAGGCCAGTTACAGCCAATCAGATGCACAGGAAGGGTATTTAAACCCAATTCCCCTCTTGCTCATTGCCCTGTCGTGGTTTCATGCCTATGGTTATCTGAGAGTGCATTCCTGATCTTGATTTTTTTGGTATTTGACTTTGGCTTTGTTTTGACTTCCCTGATATCTGGTATCCTTGACTTTTGACTTTCCCTTATCTTTGTGTCTGATTCTGTGTCCCTGACCTAGGCAAGTATTTTGACTATTCTTGGAGACGTTAAGTCTGATCCTTCTAAGGTCCGGTTATACGTTATCCTTAGTCCTAGTTGTGACAGTACTGCGTGCTGGATCAACTTGTAATCCTGACACTAGGCAGGATTGGAAATGTTTGCCTTTCGCCATGTACAAAAAAAAAAAAAATGTTCCTTTTTACAAACAAAAAATTATTACTGTCCCATCCAATTCCATCGACTTTTATAGGTTTCACTGGCCACTAGCCCAAGCACATCAAACCATACAATTCTGAGAGGCCAAGTTAGGACCTGAAGAACTCCTCTCCAGCAGTACTGTGTCAAGATATGGCTCAACACACATCTAACAGCACTTAATTAGAAGACAGAGAAACATGGGAGCCCATTAATCTTGTATCCTTATGGCCTGGAAAGGAGGGGGAATGTACCTGTGTCAACCTTGCCAGCCATAACCATTCAGACCCCAGTACTTACTTAAAGAAAAAGCAAAATCTGTATGTTTTGCTTGTTAAATATGTAGATGTTGTTTGACATTTTTATCATTAGTTTTATTATTAATCAATGATCAGTCTAAGTACCAAAACCAATTCCACTTAATGAAGTTGTTTTGGTGCATAGAGCATGCTCATGCAGTCTCACTGCTCAGTTCTCTGAGGTTTTGGAGTTTAATCATTTTATTTCTGAAGCCCAGCCACTACTCACACAGCTTCCATTCACACTTCCTGAAAAAATTGTGATCATTTCAAAACCATCTTAAGGTAAGTCAGTACAGCAGAGTGTATTTACTTTAAATGTTCTTATCCCATGCTCTGTTATTTGCCAGCTATTACACTCAAAAAATACTGCCAGCAGCCTCCCGTGTGAGATTAAAGTTCTCACACAAAATTTTACAGAAGCAGCAAGAAATCAGAGGTACATTTTGGGAGTTTACTCTATTTTTTTATGTTTTGTAGTGTGCTATAATCTATCTTTATGAAGAACTTTTGATTGGACAATGTCCAGCATGAACAAGGACGTTAAAAGGGAAAAAAGGTGACGAATTTGCAGATGGGTAGATAAAAAAAAAGATAAATATATATATAAAAAAATTATTTTAACTGTGTTATAGTGCATTAAAACATGTATTTTTTTCTACCTCTCTAGCAGATATGTAAAAACTTGACAAAAACTTTATGATAGAGTTTATAATGAATTTTATGTATATGCAGTTAATATGAAAATGCCCCTTTTTTAGGACACGCCAAGCGTCAGTACAACTTTAAAGCATTCGATAAGTTTCGCCTCATTTGTATGTTTTTGCATGTGTGTTGTATTGTTTTCATGCTCAAATCTTTATAGTTTCTGTAAAAAAAAAAAAAATGTTTTGCAGAATGCTGCGCCATAAGCCTGCGTCTTTAGCCACGACTCTTGACTCTAGAAGAAGACTTCATTATCAGATGTATGCACACTGACAGTACTGAATGATCTGAACTACAATGCAACCTGCATTAAAAGGAGAGGACAACGGAGCTCTGCACAGAGGAGCTGTACAAGGGCTCCTGACCATATCATCCGAGCCCACCGAGCAATTTACCAGCGATGACAATCGCTCCCCTGACTCCATGAAAACTAGATCCAGCGCATGTGAGGAACGAAGGAGTCCCCCGGAGGTCCTGGTCTCGGACTGCACCACTGTGCTGGCCAAAAATGTCACCACACTGGCCATCCGCCATCTTGGCCACTCGAAACAAAGCTCAGTGAAGGCCAGAAACCTCGGAATCAGCACACTCCCAGGCACCCAGTTGAGCATCACTGCAAGCATCCCCACACACCCAGTTCTCTCACCTGTTGCTGATGGAAGGTAGGCCACCCTCCCAAACATAGTGTGGCAAACAGTAAGTCACCCACCATGTGGCACTTATAACCAAAGGCAGCGCTTTTAGCACAAGGCTGACAAGTCATTTTCCTTGAGCGGCACTTTCAGGGGTGCGGCAAAAAAAGCCGCCACTCCCCCCCATCGCCCTGGCAGATGCGTTGCCAGCCTCTTGTCCTGGGGGCCCCCTGCAGCTGGCATGTGATGCGAGGGAGCACTATTCCCTGAACTCTTCCTGCTCAGCTCCCTCGCGCGCCCCGCAGTGAGGCTGGAGCCAGAATATGACGTCACTCCGACCCCGGCATCACTAAGAGGCGTGCGAGGGAGCTGAGCAGGAGGATCAGAGCTCCCTCACCTGTCTCCTCGACCGACCATCCGTGCCTGCTAGCCCAGCCAGCAGCAGCCCCACTGGACCCCAGGGTAGAATACACTCCCGCACCTTAAAAAGTAATGTGAGTAAAAAAAATTGTGAGTGTTTGTGTATTAGTAAGTGTGTGAGTATGTGCAAGTGAGTGTTTATGTATCTGTTTCAGCGTGTCTGTCACAGAGAGTATATCTGCCAGTGAATGTGTATGTCTGTGAGTGTGTGTCTGTCAGTGACTATGTGTGTTTATTAGTGAATGTGTATGCGTGTCTGTCATTGTATGTATGCGTGTTTCAGCGTGTCTGTCAGTGCATGTATGAGTGTCTGTCACTGAGCATTTATGTTTGTTAGTGAATATGCATGTCTGTCAATGAATATGTGTGTCTTACACTGAGTGTATATATGTCTGTCAGTCAGGGCCAGATTAAGAGCCCAGTGGGCCTGGTGCTGACAATTATGATGGGGCCTAATTACAGAAATGTCACGGACCCCGGCTCGCCGCGAGGTGCGGTCGCACCGGACCAGTGCGACCGCGCCAATGAACTGAGCTTACCTGCTCAGCAGCAAGTCGGGAGCCGCTCTGCCGGGTTCTCCCGGCTGCCTGCCCGGGTTCAAGATGGTGCCGAACACGCGGTCGCAGCTAGATATAGCTCTGCCCCCCAGGGTCACACACACACATGTTCTGCAGTCAGAGGGATATTTAACCTAGGTTATTGCCCTATCGTGGTTTTCGTTCCTGGTTCCTGAATCCTGAGAGTGCGTTTCCTTGTCCTGTTTTTGATATTCCCAGTATTTTGACCTTGGCTATTCATGACTATTCTGATTCCTGACTTCCCTGACTTGGCTTGTTAAATGGTATTGTATATTTCTGGCTCCCTTGACCATTCTCTGTTTTTAAAGTATTAGTCCGGCCATTCTAAGGACCGGTTTACGTTTTATCATTTTCTGTTCAGTTTATGTAGATGTTACATAGTTCTGCGTGCTAGACCACACTAGCAGTCATGACAAGAATCTTAGTCATACCTCTCAAGCGTCAAGTATCTAATGGAGATGGTGTTGGAGGGAAACTCAAAGGATACAGCTTTAAGAAAACACATACTCTATGCTAATCTCTCTCTAATTTATGCTTTAAACTTTCAAGTAAATCCATACCCCCTAACAGCAGTGTCCAGTGAAGCAGGAAGTCAATGGGGACACTGGGAGAAATGGGGACACAGACACTAGGGACACAGAGACACAGACACTGGAAGACATGGGGACACTAAGACACTAGGGACACTGGCTGGGAGGCATGGAGACACAGGCATGGAGACACTTGGGGACACTGGGAGACATGGGGACACTAGGGACACTGAGAGACATGGGACACAGACAGGGCCGGACTGGGGAAAAAATTAGGCCCGGGCATTTTTCAATCAGAGCGGCCCCCTAAGAAGGGGACGGGGCCAGAGAGTGTGTGTTTTGTCATCACTAATGACAACACGCCCCTCTCAAAGTGAGCATGTTGGTTCTATGCCCAGAGCCCTGCTGAAGAGCTCTGGCATTAGAAAAAGGCCCTGAATTTGCGTATAGGGTAAGGGATCTAGTGTGCATCTGGAGCGTAATGAGTGTAGTGGTGCAGTGTGAGGGGTGCTGTAATGTGTGTGTGTGTGTGTGTATGTATATATATATATATATTTGGACTTATTGTATGTCTGAGGGGCGCAGTGTGTGTATGTAAGAGGGGTGCTGTGTGTTAGGGTGTTTTTATCTGCTGTCACATTCTAGGTTTCTAATTTTCTTTGTCTGTTAACTCACTGAGGGTTATTTTATATATATATATATGTGTGTGCTGTATATGTGTGGGAGTGTGCTGTGTGTGTCTGGGTGCTGTGTGTGTCTGGGGGGTGCTGTGTGTGTCTGGGTGCGCTGTGTGTGTCTGTGGGTGCAGTGTGTGTCTGTGGGTGCAGTGTGTGTCTGGGTGCTGTGTGTGTCTGGGTGCGCTGTGTGTGTCTGTGTGCTGTGTGTGTCTGGGAGTGCAGTGTGTGTCTGGGGGTGCAGTGGGTGGCTGGGTGCGCTGTGTGTATCTGGGGGTGCTGTCTGTGTCTGGGTGCAGTGAGTGTCTGGGGGTGCTGTGTGTTTGGGTGGTGCTGTGTCTGGGGGTGCTGTGTCTGGGGGTGCTGTGTGTGTCTGGGGGGTGCTGTGTCTGGGTGAATGTATTTTTTATGTAAATTTAAATATATCCGTTCTGCCTGGGGGGTGGGGAGCCATGCTGCCTTCCCTGGTGGTCCAGTGGTGAGAGTGAACTCTAACCTGCAGGCTAGAGTTCACTCTCGCGAGATTATGCGTTGCCGCATGTGAATGCATGTGTGTCAGTTAGTGTATACGTGTGTCTGTCGGTGAATGTGAGTGTGTATGCCTGCGAATGTGTATGTTTCAGTGAAAGTGTGTGAGACAATGACTGTGTATCTGTAAGTGAGTGTATGTCAGTGCATGCATCAGTGAGTCTGTCAGGAAGAGAAATTTTGAAGGGGGAGGGGAGGAGAGTGCCCGAGTTTTGTCGTGCCTGGGGCAGCACAAAATCAGAATACACCACTGATCACAAGGTCAACAACCCAGTGCAAAAGGGAATGAAAACAAAGGGCAGCTGAGCTCCTACCTGGACATTTTAGTCATAAGTTGTAAATACTTTAGTTAATTTTGTTTGCTTTCCACATTTGCTCCTGGACCTGATTCCTATTTCCTGCTACTCTCCATGGACATTTTGCAGTTGTCCTCCCAATATGCTGTGCTACTATTCAACAACCTGCAAATAAGTAAACTCTCTAACTGGAAATTCTACGCTCACAACCTGATCTAAAGCTTAACTGAAGTGGAATATACTGCTATTCACTTATGCCACACATTTTGGCTTAATACAAACTCTAACTACACTGAACCACTCCAATGAAGCTCTTAACATCAGCATGATTTGAAGGTTGCTGACTTGCTGGATTTGCATTGGATATATAAAATATTAATAGAATTGCCTAACCTAATACCACTTTACTCTCAATTATGGAGAAGATCATCCACTCTGGAAGACTAACTCACACCCAAAACTCTAAAGCTTTCTCAAAAACACCAGACATGTGTACAGAAGATAATTCATCAATACCATCAAGTCTAGTCACGTCAGATGCTTTGTTCACACCAGATATCCCAAATAGTAATGCAGCCTCAATAGCAGAGGACTTCACTGCCTCACTCTGGCCAAAAATAGAAGCAAAATTTGATTCTGTGCAACATACAATAGTGGATCTTGTCAACAGGGAGGCCATAACACCTCTAGACTGAATAGCTTTGAAAACTGTCATGGTGATCTAGAAAACTCTTCCCCAAAACTACAGGAACAACTCCAACCATGATTTAAAAAAAAAAAAACATAGAAAAGAGTTACTTGAGCACAGCTCCAACAACAATCTGACCTACTTACACAAATCCAAACAAATGTGGAAGATCTTGAAAACAGGAACAGAATAAATAATCTCTGTTTCATTGGTTTCCCTGAATCCACCAGACAACATGTTCTGCTCCAGGAACTACAAAATTGGAGACCGTAGGTACTACAGCCAGGGCCGGCCTTAGGGGTGTGCGAGCTGTGCGACCGCACAGGGCGCCATGGAACAGGGGGCGCCCTGTGGCCGACACAGCTCACTCATGGCCGGAGTGCAGGGGAGCTAAAGGAGGTACCTGGCTGGAGGATTAATTGTTCTCCACCCAGGTCTATTTAAAAAAAAAAATAAAAATAAAAAATCGCGGCAGAGGGGGCGGGGTTTACCGAGCGGCGGAGGCGGGGCTTATCGAGAGGCGGAGACGGGGCTAATACCTCCCGAAGCCCCTGCTGTACAGGAAGAGGGAAAGATGCTTCCCATCAGCCAACTGCATCCACTGGAAAGAGGTAAGTGTGTGTGTGTGACTGTTTGCCTGTTTGTGTGACTGTCTGTCTGTGTGTGTGTGTGACTGTCTGTCTGTGTGACTGCCTGCCTGTGTGCGTGTGACTGTCTGTGTGACTGCCTGTCCTTGTGTGTGTGTGACTGTCTGTCTCTGTGTGTGTGACTGTCTCTGTGTGTGACTGCCTGCCTGTGTGTGACTGTCTGTGTGTGTGACTGTCTGTCTGTGTGACTGCCTGTGTGTGTGACTGTCTGTCTGTGTGACTGCCCGTGTGTGTGACTGCCTGTGTGTGTGAGACTGTCTGTCTGTGTGACTGTCTGTGTGTGTGACTGCCTGTGTGTGTGACTGCCTGGATGTGACTGCCTGCCTGCCTGTGTGTGTCTGTCTGTAACTATCTGTCTGTGTGTGACTGCCTGCCTGTGTGTGTGACTTTCTATCTGTGTGACTGCCTGCCTGTGTGTATATAACTGTCTATGTGTGTGTTACTGTGTGTCTGTCTGTGTGTGTGACTGCCTATGTGACTGTCTGTCTGTGTGTGTCGCTGTAGCTGTGCCATTGTTTGTGCCTGTGCTTGTATGTGTGACTGCCTTTAACTGAGTGTGTGTGTACATGCCTGTAACCGAGTTTAAATTTCCCCCACCCCTTCCTGTCAAGGCCGCACTTTGACTGACAGACGCTCACTCACTGACAGACGCACACTCACTGACGACACATACACACTCACTGGCGACACATACACACTCACTGACTGACACATACACACTCACTGACTGACACATATACACTCACTGACCAACACACACATTCACTCACAGACACACACACATTCACTTACAGACACACACAATTACACACTTACAGACACACACACACACACACACACATTCACTTCAAAATAAACACTCACAGACACACACACAGACATTTCCACTAACACTCACAAACTAATATTTTTTACATTTATTTTAAATCCACCCAGCCTCCCTGGGAAAGCTGGAGTGGATTTCTTACCAGCAGTCCAGTGTGGCTGCTGGGCAGGCAGGCAGGGGGCGCACAGGCTGAGTAAGCAGCGCTTAGTGATGCCGGGAGCCGGACTGACGTCATATTCTGGCTCCCGGCTTCATTAAGCGGCGCAGAGGAAGCTGAGCAGGAAGAGCTCAGGTGAGTATGCTCCTTCGCTGCCCGCTGCCAGCCTTGGGGGGGCTCAAAAGTGGCCAGCCGGTCAGCTCTTGAGCCCCCCAGGATGCGAGGCAAGCAAGGGATCTGCCTGGGGGTTTGGAGGGATGCTTTTTTTTGCCGCCCCCTGCAAAGTGGCGCCCAAGGCAGATGCCTTGTTTGCCTCGTGATACACACGTCCCCGGTGCCTGTGTGTGTTACTGTATTCAGGCAACTTGGTGGGAGGTGGGGGGGGCGCCGTGAAGACTTTTTGCACAGGGCGCCTAATTGCCTAAGGCCGGCCCTGACTACAGCTCCCGTATGACAAACCACTCCTGATTGAAAGAGCACACAGTCTAGGTCCAGAGAAAAGTTTGACACACATACACCCCAACTTGACCTAGAACGGGAATCATATGGCTGCGGAGTTCCTGTGATGAAGAATCCATATTACAAGCACAAAATTCTTATCTTCCAAGACTATTTGATGCAAGTGATATATGAAAGCTTTGGGAGGCTAGTGAGCATGCGTGGCAAAACGCGCTACACAAGTCTGCATCTCCTTATAGAGATGCACTGAATCATTGCATCTCTATGGGGGAAGTTCAGTGCATCAATGCATCTGAGTAACTGCCACTGGAGGTGTCCCTAGGGGGCAATATAAACACTGCCTTTCTCTACATTTAAATGCCTGCAAGGGTCTATAGACACCAGAACAATTTAATACTAGATGTCACTTTGCCTGAGGCTCGCAGCACCCTGGTTAATGGTATGCCCCAAATACCTCAAACTCATTGTAGGAGTGAATTGTAATGCAGTGTTGGGCAGTCGGAGGGACTGTCATCCTACACTGGCCGTCTGAGTGACTGCCATGAGAGCACTTACTAGGCAGCAATGTAAACACTGCCTTTTCTTTGAAAAAGCAGTGTTTACAAAGCTCAACCTCCAGGGACAGGCTTTATACACCAGAACCACTAGTAGTTCTTGTGATTATACTGTCCCTTTTTATTATTAATATTATTATTGTTATTTATATAGTGCCAGCTTACCTTTAATTTTCATTGGTTTCATTGGTTATGGTGCCATGTGTGCCATATTTCCCTCCCAGTGAGAGTAGTCAAACAGATTCCAAATGGTTTCACAACGGACCTGCAGTCTACCAAGAGCCGGCCGCAGCCTCTTGGGTCCTCTGGGGCCAAAGCTCCTGCTAGGAGCTTCTGTTATCTCCACGTAGCTTAACCAATGCGTTGCA